CCCCATGTGCTGGCGAACGAAATGGCTTAAAAATCTCGCATCCTTCGCATCTCTGTTACACTTTTCGCATTCGCCAGATCCAAACATGGCAGAATCAGCACATTAATACATCGACGCGTGTCACGGTGCTCAACTCGTATGCCACGCCGATTCTCCTCTTCCAAGCTCAAGTCTATCCACCTCCCCGGGGGACATGGAAAGAGTTCCGCGCGACCAGTCACAACTTCACGTCCAGTGGGAAGGCATCGGCTGACCGACATTTCGTCCTCTGGAGCGGGGACCTGGCCTACACGAGCAGGAAAGAGGGGGGACTGGGGGTCATTAATCCAACGGTCCGGATAGAGTGTATGGCGCTTAAAAACCTTGGAGTTGCAGTACAGCAAAAGGACCCGATGAAACGATGGCTGATGGAGAGAGCAGCGGGGATGCCACTAGGATGGTCAACGCCATTAGCACATCGGTCGGCCCTGAGAGTGTGGACTAAGGGAGGGGAAAAATGGAGAAGGACGGTGATAACCTTCTGGCAGACTCTGCAGTCGAAGGTACAGGCACCGGCGAATCGTTGGGAGTATGCAAATGAGAGACTCTGTTTCAGCAGATACATTTTCTACAGAGGTAAAAGCCCATTCGGGCGACAAAAGGGCTCAGAGTGTTTGCTGGAAATGAAGCTGGGTGACCTGATTCAAGCGGAGTGGGACGGATCACGGAAGGTTAAAGATGTGTGGACCCTGACCAAAGAAACAGGTAGCTCTGTGACGGCGCGGTGGGCGCTGAAGGCATGGAAAGCGGCGCCGGACGAATGGAAAGCGGCACTGCTGGAAAAACTGACAGGCGAAGAGGTGCTAAAAACAACTCGATTTGCCAGCACGCGCTCCTTGGCAGGGAGAGAGATGTACTGGCAACTAATAGCACGTGACGGCGACGAGATTCTTGGCAAATCAGCTGCGGTGGGGAAGAAAGGAGAGGTGCTGCTATCAGACAGGGCTGGTCAGGTGCGGCTTGCGGTACACAGGCTAACCCCGCTGGTGGTGGAAAATGGGGTGCTGATGGGAGAAGCGGGCCTTCCTCTCACACGGCTCAGGACGTCGGTGCTATGTGTGAAGGGCAAAGGCGCTCCTCTGAAAAAGTTGAGAGCGGAGCTGAGAGGGCCAGTCGAACAGCCGAAGCAGCAGAAGAAGTGGGAGCAGGAGTATGGGAAGCCGATTGACTGGAAGGAGTCTATCAGGAAACGGGACACACTGGTCACTCCGGGCAGGGCAAGAGAAGTCATTCTGAGGTTGCACAGTAAGAACCTCCAAGTTGGCGACAGGTTACACTTCATGCGTGATCGCATCAGCTGCCCGCACTGCAAGGAAGATGAAACCCTAGGACACTGTTTGCTGGAGTGCGACAGCATACAACCTGTCATTGGCGCGCTTAAAGGGGCGTTGAAGCAGATGAATCCGACAAGGGAGGTGGAAAGGCTGGATGACTTTCTGTTTGCCGCAGATGGCACGTCATCTGGCTTCCCTGAAAAGCCGCTGATTGCGGTGGCTTTCCATCAGATATGGCTCGAGCGGTGTGAGGCAGCTTTCCGGCAGGACAAGTTTCAACCGCGGAGAGTCCTCAGGAAGATTGGGGTGAATTTTATGAAACACGTCAGAATCTACAGTACCTACAAGAAACAAGCGACAACAGAGGAGGCAAGTGGGGCGGGACAATGCTGGCCCCATCTGGCGAGGGACGAGGCTATGCTGTTGAGCCGGATTTTTCAGGACGAGGACACGCTGACGTGGAAGGAGGAGTTCAGATCGGTGTGGGCCAACCCGAGAACTGTCTTTCACCCACCTTAGTTGGTAAAGGAAGGGCGGTGCAGACCTCCTGGTTGCCTGGTCCCTTCCCCCCTACAGTTACGACTGTGGATGTACCCACTTTATAAGTGTAATGCATCCTTCAAAAAAAAAAAAAAAAAAAAAAAGATCCAAACATGGGGGCGACCATTTGGCATGGTCGTAAGAATGTTCCACGCCCTAATACGGCGTGTCCAAAGTGCTGCACAAACTCGACGTCGAGGGACGTTGGTGAATCCTGACGGTTGGAACCTTTGATCCGAGGGTGAAAGTTCACCGACGTTGCTCGATGTCGAGTTTTTGCGCACTTAGCACACGCCGTAAGTTGGTCAGTTCTGTCTTTGACTGGAGAACGCCTTGACGGATATCTTGGAAGTATCCAGTATCCAGGATCTAGACCTTAGGGCGTGTCTCCATTTTGCCCCCAAGGGTTCTAGCCACGGACGGTCCGGATTGCAAATTGGTTACCCGTGCCGCAGAATCCGTCATGGGTTTCGTGAAAATATTTGTGACGTCGTCAGCGGCTCGAACTGTCGTGTCACTTTTCCTTCCTCACAACGGTTCAGATTCTGAACCGTCCGCAGCTCGAAAAGCAAACGGACGGTGCAACAGTACTGACTGGAGATTGGCGCGCGAGGGATTTTTTCAAAACAAAATCAGATTGGTGCACGAATTCCTCGATAACACGTCGCGACGTGCGTAACGGCGCTACATTGCTCATAACGAAGCTACAAAACTTCGTGAAATTCCGGCTTCAGAAAAAAAGTGACAGCACTGCATCTGCACGGGGCAAAATTCCGAAATGGCAATTCGGACAGTCTGGCCCTCGCAATTAGGACCGTCCGGTACCAAAAAAGAGAACCGTCCGGAAAAATACAAAAAATATAAAAAGAGACACGCCCTCACGGTTTACCATTTAGGGTGGCTGATTACCCTTCAGGCACAAGCCCTTCAATACACGAAGCGCTCACGATGCCATCGCGACCGCATGAGCCAGAATACACGCCTCGGGTCGGACGGCTGCTTGGGGAACACGGGTTAGTGATCAAACATCGATGTCGCCGATTTCTCTGACCAATCAAACAGGTCGTTTACTCGAGCACGCGACCCCATTGGATGCGCCTCTGAACGAGCTCTGACTAGAACGTGTGTTCGCATCGCTTTCATGGAGATTGTTTTTCGTGCATCTGCGCATCGATCATACATGGCGGCTCGAAATGTCCCACAAGGCGTTGGCAATTCTGAATTTGGTGAGGATGACGGGTGCTCGGTGCTGGCGAACGTCGCTAGGGGCAAACCGGTCTGTACGAACTCGGTTACCATAATGGATTTTTACGATCTCGCGAAAACAGAAACTCACCAGCCACTGGGAAGCGTGGAACGTGGAACGTGACGCTTCACTGCTCGTCCTTGTCGCGAAAGCTTGGGCATTTATCTTTGCGGTAACACTCATGGAGCTCGATCGCATCCGAGATAAGCCACGTGTACATTTCGTAACAAAGGTATCGTGTCCTCGCCACTGTGATAACCATCATGCCTAAATGGTCAATATTTTTGCCTGCATGGTAATGAACAGTGCATCCGGAATTCCTGGCTGGTAACTTCGCGTTTCAACCAGACTGTACAGCGTACAAGTAGGATTTGACTCAGCGAAACGAAACTGACTGTCCACGTGTATTCTACAAAATGCGCATTTCTGTTTATAGTAGCGGCGTTTACAATCTCGAACGATAAAACATTGCTATTGCTAAACGTGATCTTTTCAAGAAAATTAAAACTGAAACAGTAACTGTTAAACAAGCGCCACAAAAAAAAACACAATTTCAAACCGCAAAGCTATCATAGTGATGAATATTGTGACACACATTAGTTTACTCTACTATAATTTTACTTATGGATCTTTACAATTGGATCTTGATCAAGTTAAAACAATTCTAATATAAACTTGAACAACAAAATATTTATTTCTACATATATTTAAACTTGCATAAAAAACCAACTAATTATTTCTACATTAAAAAGTACATTTAATGCATAAACAAAACTATACGAACATGTTACAAATAGGGCAATGCATATTTAAATCTTACAGTAGAATGTTATGTGTGATTTCATTAATATACTTGAACCATGAAACTGATCCTATGACGTTTTGTTTTGTTTTTACAGAGTGATTGTAAGATGTTTGCTATTATTGTATCGCATACGTGCATGTAACGCTTTGTATTTGTAAGTGTTCGTACACTCAAGAGAATTGCGCATTCTATTGGTATATACGTGGACAAACAGTTTCGTTTCGCTGAGTCAAACCCTACTTGTACGGTGTACAGTCTGGTTGAAATGCGAAGTTACCAGCCAGGAATTCCGGATGCACTGTTCATTACCATGCAGGCAAAAATATTGACCATTTTGGCATTATGGTTACCACATTGGCGAGGACACGATACCTTTGTTACGAAATGTACACGTGGCTTACCTCGGATGCGATCGAGCTCCATGTTTGTTACCGCTAAGATAAATGCCCCGAAAGCTTGCTTCCACTTCCCCTCCCCCCAACCAACCTCACAAAACAGCAGCACCCCGCCGCTCACCCACTCGACCCTACTCACCGACCACATTACAGTACAATGCTCCTTCAAATTGTGGGCGTTGTTGATTCGCCTTCAAACAACTAGGTGCTAGTGCACACACCCAACTGCTGTGAGGTTCCCGCGCCTATTTCACTGGTAAGCTAATACTGCTTGCCTCGCGTCTTAGTAGCTAGGAGCGTTCAATAATCTTCCCAGCACCATGAGGCCGTTCGTTCCTTCCGCGTCTGCGTGCCTGTCCGTTCTGCTGTGTTGCCTAGCATTCTCCGTAGCGTTCGCCGACAATGCGCAAGTACAAACTGGATTCATTCTCTGCGAGGATTTCGGCGAGCACGCAGCTTCAGCCGCTGCGGTCCACAATATCTCCGTCTGCGCTTTCGTACTGCAAGGCGAGCCAGTCGATTTCGACCTCACCCCCTCTGCGACCACCAGTACCCCTGCGATCGTCGGCGATGAGTTTTCGCTTCGGCGAAACTTGCTTGGCGGCGGTGCGACGCCTGTTGCGATCCAGTTGGCGCAAGGGCTGCTGGGAAATGTGGGGACGGTCCGAACTCAGGCGACGACGGGAGCGGGTTGGGAAGTTATGGGCTCCCTACTCACGCAGGTACGCCTAAAAGAAAAATCTGCAAGCAAGTGTGCATTTTTCTAGGTGAGAAATAAACGATTCCTCGTCGGTCCACAATATCTCCGTCCACAATATCTCCGTCTGAGAAATAATCGATTCCTCGCGGCTGTTCACGACGGCGTGAACATCGCCGTATGTGAGTTACACCTGCGAAGGTCAAAATCGCGACTCTCGTCCGATATTGTGACTCACAGATGGGGACTTCGGATCAGAACCTAAAAGCCTCCCGAGTCATTACATGAGTCGTGGTCATTATCGGCTCGCTTCGTCAACTGCTTGCGGCTCATGTTTCCTTCTCACCCTGACTCCTGTTGTGTATTTCAGTCGCTACTGATCAGCAAGAGCCTGGTCTGGGCAATCAAGGACATGATGGACATGTACCGCACGCGCCCGCGATCCACGCAGCATCTTCAGGACGCGACTCGCAACGTGAATCGCGCGTATTCCAACCAGCAGACGCTGCTGATGGTGCTCAATAGAAACCCTCAGACCCAGCAATCCGAGCAGATCTCGTCCATACGCGATGAAGTCGCATCCATGACCCCCAAGTTCACTCAGCTGCTCTCTCTGCTCGCCACGTGGCGCCAGCAGCAGCTTCACGCCATAACTCGCCTGCACTTCGCTGCGGAACCTGTCAGCCTCGCCGTCACCCAGGCCGCACCAGCCGCACCAGCAAAAGGAAAGGGCGGCTCGAATATTGTGGTGACTCTTGATGACGACGACGACGACGATGATGACGAGGATAAGAAGGACAAGAAGAAAAAGGACAAGAAATCGCCGCCGAAGAAGAGCCCTCCCAAAAGCTCGTCGGGTTCAAATTCGGGGGGCAGGGGCTCGAAAAAAGGAAAGAAGGCCAAGGTTGGGGCGACTCAGATGATCAACGTGGTTGTGGCGGCAGATGGCACTGGGGATTACAAGTCGATTCAGGCCGCTGTGGACGCGGCTGGACCAGGTTCGACGATCCGCATCAAGGCGGGAGTGTACAAGGAGCAGATCCAGGTCAGCACGGATCGCATCACGATGATTGGAGCTGGGATGGATCAGACGGTTATTGTGTACGACGCCAGCCAGACCCGGGGTTACGATATTATCACCTCGGCTACAGTCGGTAAGTGCTACCATCATCCAGAAATTCAAATGTTGGCAACTCAAATTACTGATCTGATAATTTTGTTTGCAAATGATGCACGTGGCAGGGGTCAACGCGGATAGGTTTGTCGCGATGAGCATGACGATTCGCAACTCAGCTGGCATGGCAGGCCAGCAGGCCGTGGCGCTCCGTGTTGACAGCGATCAAGCCGCGTTTTACCAGCTCCGGATTTCGGGATTTCAAGACACCCTGTTCGCCAGCACGGGTCGCCAGTACTACACGAAGTGTTTCATCGACGGGGCTGTGGATTTCGTGTTCGGCGACGCGGCTGTTGTGATTCGCAATTCGCAATTGAAGGTCCAGGCGTCGCAGTATGACACGACAATCACCGCGTCGGGTCGCCTGAGCAAAACTTCCAACACCGGGATTGTCGTCATGGACAGTCGCGTGGTGTCGTTCGCGCCGCGCGTTTTCCTTGGGCGACCGTGGAAGGACTACGCGACGTCGGTGTTCATCAACACGTGGCTCCCGAATGTAAGCACGACACCAGCTTCGTCAGAATCTCGCTGACGGAGCGGTGTCCGTCGTCAACACTTGACCCATCGGGTAACAGAGTCAAGCGTCAGGTTACCATGCGTAACATCGCCGACGCTTTCTGATAAAGCCTTTCCCTCGTGGAAAATATAACGCGCATGGGTTTCGTGTCCAAGCCTTTCCCATACCGCCGTCTGTTTTTTCGTGAAGGTGCGAAGGTGTGAACCATGCGCACTTCCCTGCAATCTCCCTCGCGCTTCGCCCCACCTTCCGCCCCCTTCCCCCAACCTCCTGTCCCTTACCGTCCTCCCCCGCTCCCCCTCCGCAGAAAGTTGTTGCGGACGGCTGGATGACGTGGGCCGGCGAGACGTACGGCGGAAAGCCATTTCTGGCGGAGTTCAACAGCAAGGGACCCGGCGCCAAGCCTTCTCGTGTCAAGTGGGCCAAGCCCGGCGTTACATCAGGTGGTGCCGTCAGCCAGTACAATCCGAACAGCTTCATCCAGCTCCAATCGTGGATTGGCGCCACCAAGATTCCCGTCTGAGCAGGCGTTCGCAAGCATCCGCGTTAGAGAGCGGTCCCGTGATGCGTTAGTACGGAAATCGATCTGGGGTACAGACCTTCCCAAACCCGAAAGACTGGCGTTGTGCTCAGGTCTTAGCTTCTGCTTTCTTACTGGCGCCACCCTTTCCTCCCTGCAAAGTCTATGTTAACTAGTTGGGAAACAAGGTCTGTTCTGTAGCTTTCTTAATAAATGGTGGACTGGCGTCATGTAAGTCCCTATTGCACTATCATACATTATCGGCTTATTTTTGTAAAAATTCTAGCCCACTTACACGCATCAATGCTCATTCTAGCATGATACGGCATTATGTTATGAGTGCAATTGAGTAAGCGAGAATTGCAATATCGAAGCAAGAGTACAATGAGCCAAGGCATGAGCGAAGAATTTATAGTGAAACTGCAGTGGTAACAATAATTAACTGTGGTTGTCGCGTGACGGGCCTGGGACTAAGGCTTGGGGAATTGTCGAAACGGAGGCCCGGAGCGCGGATTATCCGCCGAGCCGCGAGGTCGGAGTGCGATGTGTAAAGGTGGCGGGAGGATTTGTCGATGCGATGGTTGCGAGTGGTAACAGTAGCGACTGTGGTGCTACAGTGGTGTACGCGCTGAGTGGGGACGCCAAGGAAAAGGAATTTTCCTTACACCAAAAAGGTCCTCCTTATGAAAGCGCGTGTACATCCCTGAAGTTTCTGCTGCGCAGATACTCGGTGAGGACGGGGTGGTTTTCGATTCTGTCCAGGGGAACCCAGTTGTCTTCGGTGGGTGTACGGTCTTTCTAGCGGATCAGGATCTCGATCCTTCGGGCTCCTCGAGAGTTACCGTCTCCCCCCGGATATAAGCGCCACCCTAGGATAAGCGCCTGGCGCTTCTAATTGGCATATGGCGCTTATATCCCCTCCTCGATTATAAGCGCACCCCTTGAAAAAACTTGTTTTATTATAAGCGCACGTAAACTTTAAAATTTGAAATGTGTTCAAAAAGCTGTAACGATTTTTACTTTAGCAGGCGGATATGTTGCAGATTCGGTTCCCTTCACATTCGGACCCTGCACTGGATGCGGGTCCAGTCAGCAGGACCTGTCAGGAGCTGGATGTGAGTCAGATTGGGTGTATCTCCCAGCGCGCGCGAGAATTTCACAGACGATCCCATGTAACTTCGACTCGATTGAAAAGGCAAGCACGAGACCTACAGTTTGGTGTTAAAAGATATAAAAAAATATGTATGTCATTTTATAAACGCCGGCGCTTATAAATTTACTCGATTATAAGCCCACCCCCATGAAAAAACCTGTTTTATTATTGCCCCCCATGGGGGTATATCCGGGGGGAGACGGTACGAACTATGTGGCTCATAATTTTCGCGGGGTTGATGATTGGTTCAGTCGGCGGTCGTCTCATGCTGGCGGGCCGATTGCGTGGCAGTTCGCTTGTGGATGGGACGTAAGGGCGAAGCAGGCTGACGTGGAAGGAGAGGCTGACGTACCAGTCAGCGGGGAGGAGTGCCAGAATTATGTCAGAATGAGAAACGAGAATGAGGAGTGACTAGCAGGAACAACAGTACAAATATGTCAAACCCTAATCTGGTGTACCCCTTATGGTGTGACCCACTACAGCCTAGAACCACACAAACATATAATGTTTGACACACCCCCATAGGCAAAGTGGGGGAGACCTAGGGGTCACAAGACCAGTCAAGGCAAAACAAGGCAAACAAGCTCAGGGTGGATCTCGAGGATTCCACACAAATTCCGAGCACAAGCAAGCGGTCACAAGACCAGTTCACATGCAGTTTTATAATAGAGCAAGAGGTACAATGATCACAAACTAACAAGACAAACATGCAGGTATATATATAATGATCACAGTACAGGTAAAGTCAAGAAGTAAGTAAGTGAGAAGCAGTCGGCACAAGGCCTAGAAGAGTGCAAAAACGCTGATGGTCAACAGGCGGAAGCGCCTTGGTGAACACATCAGCAGTGTTGGCCTCAGTGGCCACGTAACGCAGAAGAAGCTGACCACGCTGCTGTAGCTCTCGAGCTAGAAAGTAACGCAGAGCAATGTGCTTCGTCCTGTGCTCCAGTCTGTGCTCCTGGCACAAGGCAATGGTTGCCTTGTTGTCGACGTACAGCACTGGAGGAGAACGAGGCTGCTCTCCAAGGTCAGTCAGCAGGTAGGTGAGCCAGCGAAGCTCCTGGGCAGCCATGGCCGTGGCGTAGATCTCAGCCTCACAGCTGGAGCTGAGAACAGAAGAAGAACGAGTAGAACGCCAAGAGACAGAGCCAGAGCCAAGACTGAAGGTGTAACCCTGAGACGACCGCTGAGTAGCCTGGTCGTCTGCCCAAGAAGCGTCTGAGTGCCCAGTGAGAACAGGCCGGTCTCGCCCTCCAAGCACTAGCCCCATGCCCGACGTACTGCACAAGTAGCGCAACACCCTCTTAGCTGCATCCATGTGCTCCTTCCGGTGACGGCCGGGAGCAACATAGCGTGCTAAGATGCTGAGAGGGTATGCTAGGTCAGGTCGAGTGCAGGTCATCAGGTACATGAGGCAGCCCACAAGCTCTGGATACGGACCACTCGACTCTACGGACTCATCCGAAGGCAGAGCTGAGAGCGAGTGACCCGTAGGCAGAGGAGTGGACTGAGGCGAGGAGTACGTGAAGCCGAAGCGCTGAAGGACCTGCTGCACCATGTGTGACTGAGTCAGGGTAATGGTGCGGCGTGCTCTGTCCCGGGTGATCCGCAAGCCAAGATAGCTTGTCAGTTCACCCAGGTCTGTGCACGTGTGTCTCTTCTGCAGCTCGGACTTCACGTGGGCGAGTGCGGCAGTGTCCGCAGTGGCAAAGACCAAGTCGTCGACGTACACGAGGATGTAGAACGGCGGCAGCGAGGTGTCGGTGCGCAGAAACAGCGACGGGTCAGCGGTAGAAGGAGCAAACCCAAGAGCCGCAAGTGTAGTCCTCAGTGTGTCGTGCCACTCACGCGGCGCCTGGCGGAGACCGTAGACTGGCCGCCGGAGGCTCCACTGGGTGCCAGGAGGGAACGACCCAGTGAAGCCAGGTGGGCGGCGCAGCCAGATCTCCTCGTGCAGGCTGCCCTGCAAGAAAGCTGTGCTGAAGTCAAGAGAGTGGAGCTCGTAGTCACGCTGAGCGGCGACGTGTAGCAGAACCCGAAGAGTGGTCATCTTCGGGGTCGGGGAGAAGGTATGGAAGAAGTCAACTCCCTCTCGCTGACTGAAGCCTCGTGCAACGTAACGCGCCTTGAAGACAAGCGGAGAGCCCGGCGGCCGCTTCACCCTGAAAATCCACATGCCACTGACGATGTTCGCCCCAGGTGGGGGAACCTCGTCGACGTAGGTGCCTGTGGACTTCCAGGAAGCCATCTCTGTGTCCATGGCTGACTGCCACTGAGAGGAGTAGGGACCGGCCATCGCCTCTGCGTAAGAGCGTGGGGTCGGGATGTCTGGTGCATCCGGGTCTCCCTCAGGGGCAACAAGCATGGACACGAGATGGGGCAAAGCAGCGGCAAGGCAACCAAACTCCTCCTGCCTGTCCTCAAGGACGTCCGTGCCAAGAGCACACTCACCCCCGACGGACGGAGGACAGGCAGACCCAGACTCAGCAACAAGACTCGCTGCGTAGTCTAGACGACACGCAGCTGCAAAGTCGACAAGCTCAGTGACTAGGGCAGACGCAGCAGCGGACTCAAAGGAAGGGTCAGTGACAACCGTAGCCAGGAGACGTGTGACAGTAGGACTGGCAGCACGAAGGGAGTCTGACTCCGGGTCAGCAAGAGCAGGAAGAGAGGACGCAGGAGGCGACGGGAGAGCAACACGCTGCGGAGCAGTGGACTGACGAAGCGCCATCCGGTGCGTGCCTGGGACAGCAGGAGGACGCTCACGCGGGACACGACTACCAGTGGTAGCAGCTCGAACAGGCGACGCTCGACGAGACGCAGGTGACACAGGACGTGACGCAGGCTCACGTCTCTCAGCAAGACCGTCAGTCGGACCAGTGTAAGGAGCAGGCACAGGGAGTGGGGAGGCAGGCGGTAACTGTGGCTGTGACTGGACAGACGGCGGACACTCTAAGGCGAGAGGAGAAAAAGGAGGAGGAGGCTGACCAAGAACCTGCTGAAGGAGCGGAACGAAGTACGGTCGTGGCCGTGCAGCAGCTCTCGAACCAGCAGAGACACCAGCGGCAGCAGCAGCACCTCAAGAAGCAGCAGCACCTCCAGCACTAGGGTCCGCAGCACCTCCAGCAGCACCGCCAGCAGCAGCAGCACCTCCAGCAGCACCGCCAGCAGCAGCAGTACCTCCAGCAGCACCGCCAGCAGCAGCTGCACCTCCAGCACCAGGGTCCGTAGCACCCACAGCAGCTCCAACGCCCGGGTCCTCAGTACTAGCAGCACCTCCAGCAGCACCGCCAGCAGCAGCAGCACCTCCAGCACCAGGGTCCGTAGCACCCGCAGCAGCGTCAACTCCGGGGACCCCAGCACCAGCAGCTCCACTACGGAGACTGATGTGCCGAGCGTACCACTCTCGAAGCTGAGGGGAAGAGGGCGGCTCCCGCCGTGGTGGGGAAACACGAGTACCAACTCCAGCAGCACCACGAGCCCGAGACTCACCCCGCCGGAGGCTGCAGTACCGTGAGTACCACTCACGCAGCTGCTGCGAAGAGGGAGGTCCTCCAGGCGCCTCACAGTCAACTGCAACACCACCAGGCTCAGCACCCCCAGGCTCAGCAACTCCAGGCGCAGCACCCCCAGACTCAACAACGCCAGGCTCAGTACCCCCAGACCCAGCACCCCCAGGCTCAGCACCCCCAGGATCAGCACCCCCAGACTCAGCACCCCCAGGCTCCGCCCGCTCAGGCTCCGCACGCTCAGGCTCCGCACGCTCAGGCTCCGCACGCTCAGGCTCAGCACCTCTAGTAGGACGCGAGTCGACAGCTACCTCAACAGGCTCAACCGGGTCTACCTGAGA